GGGAAGATATACTAAGCAACACAGACCCCAACTTATGCCTAGAACAGATTAACTCGGGGGCACTCGATGTATGCACAAGGCTTATTCCTCTAAGAAAAAGGAGGAGTAGATGTAAAATAGAAAGAGACAGGCGCTCCCTTTACAGGCGACGGAAAAGAATAACAGAGCGGCTAAAAGAGGTCAATATATCTGAAATGCGTAGGGAGACACTGGTCAGAGAAATAGCAAGCATCGAACTTAAGCTAAAAGAATCCTTTAGGAGTCAGGAATCGCAGGAAGAACGAAAAGCCATAAATGAAATCGAAAGAAACCCAAAGTATTTCTTCTCCTATGCCAAATCAAAATCGAGAACAACGTCCCAATATGACTCAGTTTTTAGCAAGTCGCTAACCAGACTGAGAGTCGAAGATCAAAATGAATTTTTTATGAGAGCCACAAAATTTGATTAACACAAGCCTATCCGATGTTATCCTGACGCCAAATGACTTCGAACAGGCGATGAATGACATGCCTATGCACTCTGCCCCAGGGCCAGACTCATGGAACTCTGTGTTCAACAAGAACTGCAAGAAGCCCCTATCACGAGCCTTTTCCATCCTATGCAGAGGGAGCATGGACACTGGGGTCGTCCCACAGTTACTAAAAACAACAGACATAGCCCCACTCCACAAAGTGGGCAGTAAAGCAACAGCAAAGAACTACAGACCAATAGCACTAACATCCCATATCATAAAAGTCTTTGAAAGGGTCCTAAGAAGCAAGATCACCACCCATCTAGAAACCCATCAGTTACACAACCCAGGGCAACATGGGTTTAGAACAGGTCGCTCCTGTCTGTCTCAACTATTGGATCACTACGACAAGGTCCTAAATGCACTAGAAGACAAAAAGAATACAGATGTAATATATACAGACTTTGCAAAAGCCTTCGACAAGTGTGACCATGGCGTAATAGCGCACACAATGCGTGCTAAAGGAATAACAGGAAAAGTCGGTCGATGGATCTATAATTTCCTCACTAACAGAACACAGAGAGTAGTCGTCAACAGAGTAAAGTCCGAGGCAGCTACGGTGAAAAGCTCTGTTCCACAAGGCACAGTACTCGCTCCCATCTTGTTCCTCATCCTCATATCCGACATAGACAAGGATGTCAGCCACAGCACCGTTTCTTCCTTTGCAGATGACACCCGAATCTGCATGACAGTGTCTTCCATTGCAGACAGTGCAAGGCTCCAGGCGGACATCAACCAAATCTTTCAGTGGGCTGCAGAAAACAATATGAAGTTCAACGATGAGAAATTTCAATTACTCAGATATGGTAAATATGAGGAAATTAAATCTTCATCAGAGTACAAAACAAATTCTGGCCACAAAATAGAGCGAAGCACAAACGTCAAAGACCTGGGAGTGATCATGTCGGAGGATCTCACCTTCAAGGACCATAACATTGTATCAATCGCATCTGCTAGAAAAATGACAGGATGGATAATGAGAACCTTCAAAACTAGGGAGGCCAAGCCCATGATGACACTCTTCAGGTCACTTGTTCTATCTAGGCTGGAGTTTTGCTGCACACTAACAGCACCTTTCAAGGCAGGTGAAATTGCCGACCTTGAAAATGTACAGAGAACTTTCACGGCGCGCATAACGGAGATAAAACACCTCAATTACTGGGAGCGCTTGAGGTTCCTAAACCTGTATTCCCTGGAACGCAGGAGGGAGAGATACATGATTATATACACCTGGAAAATCCTAGAGGGACTAGTACCGAACTTGCACACGAAAATCACTCACTACGAAAGCAAAAGACTTGGCAGACGATGCACCATCCCCCCAATGAAAAGCAGGGGTGTCACTAGCACGTTAAGAGACCATAGGATAAGTGTCAGGGGCCCGAGACTGTTCAACTGCCTCCCAGCACACATAAGGGGGATTACCAACAGACCCCTGGCAGTCTTCAAGCTGGCACTGGACAAGCACCTAAAGTCAGTTTCTGATCAGCCGGGCTGTGGCTCGTACGTTGGTTTGCGTGCAGCCAGCAGCAACAGCCTGGTTGATCAGGCTCTGATCCACCAGGAGGCCTGGTCACAGACCGGGCCGCGGGGGCGTTGACCCCCGGAACTCTCTCCAGGTAAACTCCAGGTAAACTCCACAAGGCACAGTACTCGCTCCCATCTTGTTCCTCATCCTCATATCCGACATAGACAAGGATGTCAGCCACAGCACCATGTCTTCCTTTGCAGATGACACCCGAATCTGCATGACAGTGTCTTCCATTGCAGACAGTGCAAGGCTCCAGGCGGACATCAACCAAATCTTTCAGTGGGCTGCAGAAAACAATATGAAGTTCAACGATGAGAAATTTCAATTACTCAGATATGGTAAACACGAGGAAATTAAATCTTCATCAGAGTACAAAACAAATTCCTTCCACAAAATAGAGTGAAACACCAACGTCAAAGACCTGGGAGTGATCATGTCGGAGGATCTCACCTTCAAGGACCATAACATTGTATCAATCGCATCTGCTAGAAAAATGACAGGATGGATAATGAGAACCTTCAAAACTAGGGAGGCCAAGCCCTTGATGACACTCTTCAGGTCACTTGTTCTATCTAGCCTGGAATATTGCTGCACACTAACAGCACCTTTCAAGGCAGGTGAAATTGCTGACCTAGAAAATGTACAGAGAACCTTCACGGCGCACATAACGGAGATAAAAGACCTCAATTACTGGGAGCGCTTGAGGTTCCTGAACCTGTATTCCCTGGAACGCAGGCGGGAGAGATACATGATTATATATACCTGGAAAATCTTAGAGGGACTAGTACCGAACTTGCACACGAAAATCACTCACTACGAAAGCAAAAGACTTGGCAGACGATGCAACATCCCCCCAATGAAAAGCAGGGGTGTCACTAGCACGTTAAGAGACCATACAATAAGTGTCAGGGGCCCGAGACTGTTCAACTGCCTCCCAGCATACATAAGGGGGATTACCAACAGACCCATGGCAGTCTTCAAGCTGGCACTGGACAAGCACCTAAAGTCGGTTCCTGATCAGCCGGGCTGTGGCTCGTACGTTGGTTTGCGTGCAGCCAGCAGCAACAGCCTGGTTGATCAGGCTCTGATCCACCAGGAGGCCTGGTCACAGACCGGGCCGCGGGGGCGTTGACCCCCGGAACTCTCTCCAGGTAAACTCCAGGTAAGCACCTCCTACTCAGGATAATTAACATCATATACAACACCTCCTACCCAGGATAACTAACATAAACAACACCTCCTACCCAGGATAACTAACATAAACAACACCTCCTACCCAGGATAATTAACATCACATACAACACCTCCTACCCAGGATAACTAACATCACATACAACACCTCCTACCCAGGATAACTAACATCATATACAACACCTCCTACCCAGTAACTAACATCATATACAACACCTCCTACCCAGGATAACTAACATAAACAACACCTCCTACCCAGGATAACTAACATCACATACAACACCTCCTACCCAGGATAACTAACATCATATACAACACCTCCTACCCAGGATAGCTAACATAAACAACACCTCCTACCCAGGATAACTAACATCATATACAACACCTCCTACCCAGGATAACTAACATTATATACAACACCTCCTACCCAGGATAACTAACATCATATACAACACCTACCCAGGATAACTAACATTATATGCAACACCTCCTACCCAGGATAACTAACATCATATACAACACCTCCTACCCAGGATAACTAACATTATATACAACACCTCCTACCCAGGATAACTAACATCATATACAACACCTCCTACCCAGGATAACTAACATCATATACATCACCTCCTACCCAGGATAACTAACATCATATACAACACCTACCCAGGATAACTAACTTTTATATACAACACCTCCTACCCAGGATAACTAACATTATACAACACCTACTACCCAGGATAACTAACATCATATACAACACCTCCTACCCAGGATAACTAACATTATATACAACACCTCCTACCCAGGATAACTAACATCATATACAACACCTACCCAGGATAACTAACATTATATGCAACACCTCCTACCCAGGATAACTAACATCATATACAACACCTCCTACCCAGGATAACTAACATTATATACAACACCTCCTACCCAGGATAACTAACATCATATACAACACCTCCTACCCAGGATAACTAACATTATATACAACACCTCCTACCCAGGATAACTAACATCATATACAACACCTACCCAGGATAACTAACATTATATGAAAACACCTCCTACCCAGGATAACTAACATCATATACAACACCTCCTACCCAGGATAACTAACATTATATGCAACACCTCCTACCCAGGATAACTAACATCATATACAACACCTCCTACCCAGGATAACTAACATTATATACAACACCTCCTACCCAGGATAACTAACATCATATACAACACCTCCTACCCAGGATAACTAACATTATATGCAACACCTCCTACCCAGGATAACTAACATCATATACAACACCTCCTACCCAGGATAACTAACATCATATACAACACCTGCTACCCAGGATAACTAACATCACACATATAGTACATCTTAAGAAGGTCTCCTGGATCTGCAAGATTCTCTTAATGTTCGCTGGAAACAATGGCGGCCAACTTGTTTCTTATTTAAGTACTTATTATTTTTTTCATTATTATTCTTCCTCTAAGATATTCATTATTTTTGGGAAGTCGTTTCCATCAGTCTTTTTTCCATATCTTGTCGGTATCTCTATATCATTTTTCGACTGTAATTTGTAACTGTTGTAGAGGTGTACACCTCAATGGAGGTTACCCATTAACACCCATAATACTACACATTAACACCAATAACGCTTCCCATTAACACTCATAATGTTACCCATTAACATATAATTTTATATTCATTTAATATTTATTCTAAATTTTAAAAGGATTTGAGTACTTACGTAGCCTCTTCAATGGCTCTGTCATAGTAAGTTTTTGCATTTTCGAAATCAGAAATGAAGTAAGCATTGGCCATCATCAGGAATACGTGGGGTAATTCTTTGTCCTTGCACTTAGTGCTGTTCACCAACTCGTTATATCGATCTAGAGCTTTCCGGTAGTTGCCTCTCTTATACAAGGTGTCCGCTTCGTTGATACCTTCTGTTTCATCATCCTGCAAAACAACGAGAAATTCCTATTAATACTATCACCAATTTTCTGCCTTTACCACACTACACACGTTTATTATAATTAAACTTGCTTTTGATTATAATATTTTGATTCACGATAAACTTCCTTCACATGAAGTTGTTTGTTGGAAATAAGAGAACAAGTGAAGACTTTAACTCACTTGCCATCTTGTTATTTACAATTTGCTGAGTCTTGTCTGGTGGTAATGAGAGGTACATTATCCAAGGACTTACATACCTTCCTTATCCTGGGATCACACCTTGCTATCCCTTCCTATCCTAGCACATGCAGTGGTTCCCATGAATACACAATAATATTATCAATCGCACTACAAATCAACATTAACATGCATTGTTGCAGCAGATGTTAGCACACATCAGATAAAACTCACCGAACAATGATTGTTGATAGACGTGGCACTGCAATAGACATACATAAAAGGTACAATTAAAATACATGAATAGATACATACTGGAGTTATTGCTGGGTGAGTGGTCGGCCTAACATGTGTACAATACTGTGTTGTTATTTGTCAAGCGAACAGTGACCAGAGAGGCAGGAAGGGAACGTAACGAGCAGGAGAGGACAATGTAAAAACAAGAAAATACAGGAAATGGGAGAGAGAGGAGGAACGAAGAAATGTACTTACAGACACAACATATATTTTTGGTTCCCTTGCTTGGTTTGCGTCAGCAACTGCCCCTGTTAATGATAGAGAATATTATTGTCAAACAGACAGCAGACAGCAGACAGCAGACATGCTGTATACTATAAAATATATTTTTGTGTGTAAATAACGTCTGAGCTTCACACCTGTGTGAGTCTATAATATATAAATGACAGAAAACATATTTCAGATACCCTTCTGCAGGAGACCAAATGGTTCGTTATCAACTTTCCAGTTTGATAAGACGCATGTGGAACACCTGGAGTTACCTGGAGAGAGTTCCGGGAGTCAACGCCCCTGCGGCCCGGTTTGTGACTAGGCCTCATGGTGGATCAGAGCCTGATCAACCATGCTGTTACTGCTGGCTGCACACAATCCAACATACGAACCACAGCCCGGCTGGTCAGGTACCGACTTTAGGTGCTTGTCCAGTGCCTGCTTGAAGACAGCCAGGGGTCTATTGGTAATCCCCCTTATGTATGCTGGGAGGCAGTTGAACAGTCTCGGGCCCCTGACACTTATTGTATTGTCTCTTAACGTGCTAGTGATACCCCTGCTTTTCATTGGGCCCCTGACACTTATTGTATTGTCTCTTAACGTGCTAGTGATACCCCTGCTTTTCATTGGGAGATGTTGCATCGTCTGCCGAGTCTTTTGCTTTCGTAGTGAGTGATTTTCGTGTGAAAGTTCGGTACTAGCCCCTCTAGGATTTTCCAGGTGTATATAATCATGTATCTCTCCCGCCTGCGTTCCAGGGAATACAGGTTCAGGAACCTCAAGCACTCCCAGTAATTGAGGTGTTTCATCTCCGTTATGCGCGCCGTGAAGGTTCTCTGTACATTTTCTAGGTCAGCAATTTCACCTGCCTTGAAAGGTGCTGTTAGTGTGCAGCAATATTTCAACCTAGATAGAACAAGCGACCTTAAGAGTCTCATCATGGACTTGGCATCCCTAGTTATGAAGGTTCTCATTATTCATCCTGTCATTTTTCTATCAGATTCGATTGATACAATGTTATGGTCCTTGAAGGTGAGATCCTAGGACATGATCACTCCCAGGTCTTTGACGTTGGTGTTTCGCTCTATTTTGTGGCCAGAATTTGTTTTGTACTCTGATGAAGATTTAATTTCTTCATGTTTACCATATCTGAGTAATTGAAATTTCTCATCGTTGAACTTCATATTGTTTTCTGCAGCTCACTGAAAGATTTGGTTGATGTCCGCCTGGAGCCTTGCAGTGTCTGCAATGGAAGACACTCATGCAGATTCGGGTGTCATCTGCAAAGGAAGACACGGTGCTGTGGCTGACATCTTTGTCTATGTCAAAAATGAGGATGAGAAACAAGATGGGAGCGAGTACTGTGCTTTGTGGAACAGAGCTTTTCACCGTAGCTGCCTCAGACTTTACTCTGTTGACTACTACTCTTTGTGTTCTGTTTGTGAGGAAATTATAGATCCATCTACCGACTTTTCCTGTCATTCCTTTAGCACGCATTTTGTGCGCTATTACGCCATGGTCACACTTGTCGAAGGCTTTTGCAAAGTCTGTATATATTGCATCTGCATTCTTTTTGTCTTCCAGTGCATCCAGGACCTTGTCGTAGTGATCCAATAGTTGAGACAGACAGGAGCGACCTGCTCTAAACCCATGTTGCCCTGGGTTGTGTAACTGATGGGTATCTAGATGGGTGGCGATCTTGCTTCTTAGGACCCTTTCAAAGATTTTATGATATGGGATGCTAGTGCTATCGGTCTATAGTTCTTTGCTATTGCTTTACTGCCCCCTTTGTGGAGTGGGGCTATGTCTGTTGCTTTTAGTAACTATGGCACGACCCCCGTGTCCATGCTCCCTCTCCATAGGATGGTAAAAGCTCGTGATAGGGGCTTCTTTCAGTTCTTGATGAACACGGAGTTCCATGTGTCTGGCCCTGGGGCAGAGTGCATGGGCATGTCATTTATCGCCTGTTCGAAGTCATTTGGCGTCTGGATAACATCAGATTGGTTTGTGTTAACCAAATTTTGTGGCTCTCTCATAAAAAAATCATTTTGATCTTCGACTCTCAATCTGGTTAGCGGCTTGCTAAAAACTGAGTCATATTGGGACTTGAGTAGCTCACTCATTTCCTTGTTGTCATCTGTGTAGGACCCATCTTGTTTAAGTAGGGGAATAATACCGGATGTTGTTCTCGACTTTGATTTGGCATAAAAAAAGAAATACTTTGGGTTCCTTTCGATTTCACTTATGGCTTTTAGTTCTTCCCACTATTCCTGACTCCTTTAAGATTCCTTTAGCTTTGGTTCGATGTTTGCTATTTCTCTGAGCAGTGTCTCCCTACACATTTCAGATATATTGACCTCTTTTAGCCGCTCTGTCATTCTTTTCCATTTTATGCTCCTCGCATACATGACTGAACCACGATTATGTTGTGATCTGAGTATATTGTTTTTGATATGGTGACATTTCGTATCAGATCATCATTGTTAGTGAAAATGAGGTCCAGTGTATTCTCCAGTCTAGTAGGCTCTATTATTTGCTGGTTTAAGTTGAGATTTAAAAGCTCGTATATATATATATATATATATATATATATATATATATATATATATATATATATATATATATATATATATATATATATATATATATATATATGTAAAACTTGCTATTTTGGCTTAAATAGTAACGATCCTCTTGCCGAATAGCGCAAGCGAAAATTTGTGCATGAAATAATTTCGCAAAAACATCATTCTGATCATGACGAAAAAAATATATTTCATTGTGTTTATTATTAAATTATTGTTAACTTGTCTAAAATATATTTAGTAGGATTAGGCTAAACTAAATTGCGCTTGTTATAATAAGATTAGGTAAGTTTTCTAAGGCTCTTTTAGTGCAAAATTATTAGTTCTTACATCAACATAAATTAAGAAAATATATATTTAAACGTATAAGAGAAAATTTTAGAAAGGACCTAATTTTGAATGAGTTTTTGCTAATTGACCAGTTTTACCTATTCGGAGCAATAATTTAGATTTAGATTAGATTTTGCCACCGAAGTGGCTAGTTTATTATGCACCTCATATCCATCCTGTGGATGGTAGCGCAAGAGCATATGGATACACAAAAGGCCTATGAACTAGGCCCCAAAAGGGTTAACAGGTGTACATATGGGTTTTTATGTATCTATATATCTACAGTTCACTTATCTGTTGCAAGCAAATTTAGGAAATTTGCTTAGTATATCTGGTATCTTATTTTCATTAATAAGATATCTTGACATGTCACATAGGTTATTATACTGTCTGTATTCCTCAATAAGTGGACAGTTAAGCACATAGTGTTCAAGACAGTGACCATATGCCTGATCACATAATTTGCATTTAGTTTGATCATCATCTGTGTGTCTCCCAAACTGCCAGAAGTACTTGTAACCAAGCCTAAGCCTGGCCACTACATCAGTCAGTACTTGTAACCAAGCCTAAGCCTGGCCACTACATCAGTCAGTACTTGTAACCAAGCCTAAGCCTGGCCACTACAACATCAGTCAGTACTTGTAACCAAGCCTAAGCCTGGCCACTACAACATCAGTCAGTACTTGTAACCAAGCCTAAGCCTGGCCACTACAACATCAGTCAGTACTTGTAACCAAGCCTAAGCCTGGCCACTACAACATCAGTCAATACTTGTAACCAAGCCTAAGCCTGGCCACTACATCAGTCAGTACTTGTAACCAAGCCTAAGCCTGGCCACTACAACAGTCAGTACTTGTAACCAAGCCTAAGCCTGGCCACTACAACATCAGTCAGTACTTGTAACCAAGCCTAAGCCTGGCCACTACAACATCAGTCAGTACTTGTAACCAAGCCTAAGCCTGGTCACTACAACATCAGTCAGTACTTGTAACCAAGCCTAAGCCTGGCCACTACAACATCAGTCAGTACTTGTAACCAAGCCTAAGCCTGGCCACTACAACATCGGTCAGTACTTGTAACCAAGCCTAAGCCTGGCCACTAGAACATCAGTCAGTACTTGTAACCAAGCCTAAGCCTGGCCACTACAACATCAGTCAGTACTTGTAATCAAGCCTAAGCCTGGCCACTACAACATCAGTCAGTACTTGTAACCAAGCCTAAGCCTGGCCACTACAACATCAGTCAGTACTTGTAACCAAGCCTAAGCCTGTCCACTACAACATCAGTCAGTGTTCACATTGCAAGTTGCTCCATAAACACACTTATCTACGTTCCTCTTATCATAGTGGGTTATAGATCTACTTAAGCTTCTACTTGCATTCCTGTAACAATAATAATTTAGTAATAAACAAACACAATGAAATCTATTTTTTTCGTTAGGTTTAGAATGATTTTTGCGAAATTATTTCATACACAAATTTTAGCTTGCCTTATTCTATCCATCAAAAATATAGTATTTTTGGTTGTAAATATTAAGGTGTTATGTGTTAGTCAAGTGAGAGAAAACGCTGACAAGAATATACAGATCTATGGGATCTATGTGCAATATATTTCAGTAAAATTTGAGCAATAGGGAAGCATAACTGACCTTGGTAATGTTGCTGCTGTTCTTTTTGTCTCCTCTGCTTCATCCCCTGCTTGTTTGCATTCACCTTCTCCTTGCTTGGCTGCAAATTAGGGTTGTTTCTGTTGGCATAAGACGATAAATATTATGTTTTATTATTTCGTCCCACTAAACAATAATGAGTTTATAATTACCTTTGAAAAAAGTCTCTTTCTTACTTTCTGTCTCTGTTGATAATGCCACAAAATGTTTCATACTTCACTTGTAGTATGTTACACATTTCGTGCCTCGATTCTGTGACGGTGTCTTCATTCCGACCATACTGTATTATGCTGTAACGAACACCTGGAGGTGTATCGTACTTTGCATTCCTCTCTGAAACAGTGTTGAAAATATATCTGTAAGTAAATACTCTGAAGTAACAACATCATTATTCTATTCAAGAGAAAAACATAAATCCACAGGGGTCATACAAAACTATATAAATGTGAGACAAATAGGTATGATCCAAGTAAGAGGAGGTTTCGAAAATTTGATAGAATGATGTAATGCAAGTGGCCAATGAGAAGGGAGAACCTTGTTCCTCATGGTCATATCTGACAGAGACAGAGATGTAAGCCACAGCACCGTGTCTTCATTCGTGGATGACACCCGAATTGCTATGAGTGTCCTCAATCAAAGACACTGCAAGACTCCAGGCAGACATCACCCAAATCTTTAAATGGGCCGCAGAAAACACTTTGAAGTTCAATGAAGAGTAATTTCAGATATGGAGAGAAAAGCTAATGTGAAGGACCTAATGCCATTTCCAGCAGGATCTGCAGGAGGTTACACTGGAATACGACCACAACATATCAAAGAGATGGTAAATCCAGTACTCGGCACAGCTGCATCAATTGTCTCTGAGTTAACAGCCTTCATCAACAACTGTCTGGCTGGGCGGATTCCAGAAGAAATTAAACCTTTCATTTTCGGAGCCTCATTAAGCGCTTTGAAGAAGTATGGTTTAATCAGACCCAATGCTTTCGGTAACACTCTTAGCCGTCTCGTTGCCAAAGCAGCAGTAAGAAACATCCGCGTAGAAGCCACCAGTTTACTCCAGCCACACCAGCTGGGTTTTGGTGTCTCTCAAGGCAGTGAAGCGGCAGCTCATGCAGCAAGGAACTACATCAGGGACTTACCAGAAGACAAGGCTTGACTTTAGAAGTGCCTTTGATATGGGGAAAATTGATGTGATCTTAGCAGTTATTTGGGATAAGTTCCCCACCCTTTTCCCCTGCATTTCAGCTGGCTGCAGCTAACCGTCAATTCATTTGTTTGGCGAACATGAAATATCCTCATCAGAGGGTGTTCAGCAGGGTGGCCCATTCCATTTCTTTTCTTCTTGGTGGTAAGAGAACTAACTTCCAACTTGTGCAGCGAGCTCAGTATCTGGTACCTGGATGATAGCAGGTACAGAAGATTCTCTTCTAGAGGACTTACAGCTAGTGAGGACTCATCCTCAACTCCTCCAAATGCGAAATTACAACCATCTGGAAATAATCGCAGCATTGCGAAAAATTCTTCCTGAAGCCTCTACTTCCACCCCGTTCAAGAGCATCCTTTTGTGAGTAATGCTGTTTCATCAGACTATCGACACAGTCCTCATGGATAAACTGAATGACCTAAATTATTATAATAAAAAAATAAGCACTAAACCACAAGGGTTATACAGCGCTGCAGGGCAGTGAAGGATGTGAGGGGTATTGAGTAGCAAGAGAGAGAGGGATGATTATTAGGGTATGGAGTACAGCAGGGCAGTGGATAGTGGAGGGGTAGAGGGTAGAAAAGAGATTGAGGTAGAAAGGACTGAGTGTTAAAGGTATCATCATAAGAGTTTGTGGAGTAAATCAGTTGCTGTCAAAAAGTCAATGAGAGTCTGGATTAAAGAGGGACCATTACCAAGAAGGGAAGGTAAAGAAAGGGCAGCAGAATGTCGCTAACAGATACTGGAACCTGACAATTCTCACAGAGAGGAACAGGGCACCTCTCCATGAGATACCCGTGATTAAGACGAGTGTGGCCGATGCGAAGATGGGAGAGAGTAGTCTCCCAACCTCGACTTTGATGACAAGGCGGCCAGAAACCTATACTCGGTTTAATAGAATAAAGCTTGTTATAGAACAAATCAGATCAACGTTGTTGCCAATGGTTGCGAAGGTGGGTAGCAATTACAGCAAAATAATCCATGAATGGAACACCTCTATATGAAACTGGGAGGTCATGTACTGTTGGCCGTGCAGCAGTGTCTGCCTGTTCATTGCCCTGTACGTCAACATGACCAGGGACCCAACAAAAAAAAATATCTTTGTGCTTGGTAGAGATACGGAGTAACCAAAGTTGGATTCAAAGAACTAAGGGGTGAGGTGTATCAAGTTTTCGTACAGCCTGTAAAGCACTAAGGGAGTCTGAAACGACCACAAATGGTGACATAAGCATAGATGCAATACAGATAAGTGCTGGAAGAATGACATACAATTCATTCGTAAAAATACTTGCCGAGGATAATAAATGGCAGCAATGAAGACATTATGGTAGTCATGAAGGAAGACATTATGGCAGTCATGAAGTAAGACATTATGGCAGTCATGAAGGAAGACATTATGGTAGTCATGAAGGGAGACATTATGGTAGTCATGAAGGGAGACATTGTGGTAGTCATGAAGGAAGACATTGTGGTAGTCATGAAGGAAGACATTATGGTAGTCATGAAGGAAGACATTATGGCAGTCATGAAGGAAGACATTATGGTAGTCATGAAGGAAGACATTGTGGTAGTCATGAAGGAAGACATTATGGCAGTCATGAAGGAAGACATTATGGCAGTCATGAAGGAAGACATTATGGTAGTCATGAAGGAAGACATTATGGCAGTCATGAAGGAAGACATTATGGTAGTCATGAAGGAAGACATTGTGGTAGTCATGAAGGAAGACATTATGGTAGTCATGAAGGAAATCGCTTTGGATCAGGACAGTTTTTTTCGTCTATAAATGATAAATTAGACAGACCTGTAACACTTGGTATCTATTATGCGAACGTTTTGCCACACAGTGACTTCATCAGTTCTTTTGAATAGTGAAGATCAGGAGATTGAGGTAATCAGTCTCACAGCCTCGAGTAGATATAATCAGTCCATCAATATTGAAAAGAATACATCGTATACGCGAGGAAGTGGCTTATATACTGTACAGAGGTGAGGTGAAGCAGCCATAGGTGGTGTCAGCCTTGACAAATCCACAAGTGGAAGCTGGTTATGGATTAGATATTGAACTAATGAAGCCAATGTGTGGAGAAACTTTTGTAGATAAATGGTTCTCTGAACTATTTAATGTGAACAACATGTGTTCATCTTACTGTACCTTCCATAGTTATCCAGCAGCCAGTTCCTCACTCAACTATGTCAGTGTTTCTATAAATATTTGTGAATTAAAGAGTGGGTAACTACACACTGTTATACAATTTCCACAATGTTAAGCTGTAGGATGGACTGGGCAAGGCGCTACTTCTTCACCTACTAATGTTTACTAAAACTGCTTCTAGGTAATCAGTTTCATTAAAAGATTGCACTGTCTCTCCAGGTAAACTCTCCAGGTAGTGCACACGGCAGTGATTTAGATGTAACACTAATGCTGCATACTACGACGTACACTAAAAAACAGGATTAAGCTACCAACGGATGTGGGTGTTACCCTTGTCATAATATCGTACAGCATTTACTTGTATCATCAATTAATAATAAAGATTAATGAACCAGACACTGTCACAATGAATCTTACCAAGTGTCTAGAGGTAAATACATTCAGATCTAAATGAATTGTGAAAACTTGCAATTGCATTAAGTTTTATAACCTACATGAACTGTATCACTGTAGGCAACAAGAGCATTTCACCCCTCCATGGAAGATGTGTTCATTTAATATCACATACCTGCAAGTCCCTCCCAAGAAGCTCATTGCTAGTAATCACTTCCTTAAATCTCTTGTTAGAGCAACTGCTCAAGAAGAAAATTCTCACCTAGTTGGTAGTAATAAGTTATCACAAGTTATATACACTGATGGATCTAAACAGGAGTCTTCTGGCAGGGCTGCATCTGCTCTTGTTGCCACCTCCCTAGTTAAGAACCATAATAAATTTGTTGAGTTAGGCATAAGAATTAACAACTGGGCGTCTACACTGAAAACTGAATTGTTTGCAATCCTAATGGCGCTAAAGCTAACCTATGACACTGAGCTTGACTCTATCATCATTACTGATTCTATGTCATCATTGAAGGCTCTTGACTCATACAATGACTCCAACAACATGCTCATTATAGAAGCCAGGTATAGATACTCAAAAATCAGGGACAAAGGAATTAATGTACAGTTGCTATGGATCCCATCACACATTGGATTACTCCTTCATGATAAAGTTGATATGTAAGCCAAGAAGAGTACCCAGAAGGAGAATGTAGAATATAACTTTGAAGGAGAATGTAGAATATAACTTTGGTATAACTGTGTCTAGCATTAGGAATAATATTAGGAAAGAAGTAAATAATGAAAATGATTGTTATAGGAATGCAGTTAGAAGCCTGAGTAGATCTATAACCCACTATGATAACATGAACGTAGATAAGTATGTTTATGGAGCAACGTGCAATGTGAACAGACTGACTGATGTTGTAGTGGCCAGGCTTAGGCTTGGTTACAAGTATTGACTGATGTTGTAGTGGCCAGACTTAGGCTTGGTTACAAGTATTGACTGATGTTGTAGTTTGTAGTGGCCAGACTTAGGCTTGGTTACAAGTACTGACTGATGTTGTAGTGGCCAGACTTAGGCTTGGTTACAAGTATTGACTGATGTTGTAGTTTGTAGTGGCCAGACTTAGGCTTGGTTACAAGTACTGACTGATGTTGTAGTGGCCAGGCTTAGGCTTGGTTACAAGTACTGACTGATGTTGTAGTGGCCATGCTTAGGCTTGGTTACAAGTACTGACTGATGTAGTGGCCAGGCTTAGGCTTGGTTACAAGTACTGACTGATGTAGTGGCCAAGCTTAGGCTTGGTTACAAGTACTGACTGATGTAGTGGCCAGGCTTAGGCTTGGTTACAAGTACTGACTGATGTAGTGGCCAGGCTTATGCTTTGTTACAAGTACTTCTGGCAGTTTGGGAGACACACAGATGATTATCAAACTAAATGCAAATTATGTGATCAGGCATATGGTCACTGTCTTGAACACTATGTGCTTAATTGTCCACTTATTGAGGAATACAGAGATAGACAATATAATAACCTATGTGACATGTCAAGATATCTTATTAATGTAAGTAAGATACCAGATATACTAAGCAAATTTCCTAAATTTGTTTGTAACAGATAAGTGAACTATGGATATGTAGATATAAATACATATGCATTCCTAATAACCCTTTGGGGCCTAGTTCCTGGGCCTTTTGTGTATCCATATGCTCTCGCGCTACCGTCCACAGGATGGATATGAGGTGCACAATAAACTAGCAACTTCGGTGGCAAAATCTTATCTAAATCTAGACTATTTCATTATATTACCTATGACGAGGATATGTAGTTATATTAAGAAATATGAATGTAATTTCCAGGTCTAAAAATATTCGTAGTGGTTAGAGTTGCAATTGTCCAAGTCGGACCGAAACGTCGTCGTAAGCTTCTCTCTTTTATGTGCGGGTTATTTGTGTATAATCCAGGCTGGTGTATCCCCGCTGCCAGACGTGTCTTTCTATGCTTAAATATAAGACTAACGACATTTGATATCAAGGAGACTTTATAATATACCTCAGCCTATCATACAATATTTAAAACTTAATTTGTCGCTGCTTTTCTTCCGAAATATATACACGAAAGTATTTGTCAGGGGAACACCTTCCACCTGAACGAAAAGGCTTGAAAAATAAATGAATGAGTCCAGGAATAATAGTGAAGATAATTTTCAAATGATTTTAATTAAAAGGAAAATAAGTAAAGTTTGGCTTCTGTGGTTCGAGTAGGATGTTGAGACAGGAGTTTGTTATGCCCAGGATGGTCTTCTGATGATATTTTAGAAGAAATGGTGTAGGTTATAATGGGTGGCGGTGTTCGTCCGATATTCTGGATTTCCTGTCATTACTTGGTCGTAGTACTACAATTCAGATTTCAGAGATGAAGAGTCGTAATGTCCAACCACGTCCAGTAGACAGGGATCTTGCTCAGATTTACTAGCGTCTACCCTGGTTGACCAGGCCAGCAGCAGAGCTGACAAGAAAATAACACTGGTTACATAAGAGTTAGATAATTATAACACTGAAGAAAGACAAAGGGTGGTATTCTACTTCAGTGTCATTACTGGTAACCAGGAAAATCAGAAACAATGAACAGAAATACTCCTGATAGATCACCTTACCTGATCAGGAGAAGAGTGGAGGTGAAGCGATTCTCCAAATTTCAGCCCACACCAGGTAAGGTTAATACTACCAGGCGTAGAAATTAATGGAAATCCAACCCCAGGAACTGGAGTTTAGCCTCAGCCCGCTAGATGGTAGTGCGGGCGGTAACACGCTAATGGTTCTGGGTGTCTGAACAACCATAACTCCACTCATTACCAGCTTATTCCTCACAATACCCACTTTCCACAACTTATGGTCGGAGACAATTAGAGGGAAAAGTACTATGTACACCCTCGGCTCAACCAATCTGAGAAATGGTTTTCTGAGCCAGATATATATGCAACTTTAAACTTATGGGACTGGATAGCCAAAGTCCTTCTTAAGAGTCGGCTATTTGAACCTTTGTGATCTGTTTCAAGCACAAAGGGTTTTCTGTATAAGTAGTATTTGAACCTACTTATACCTCATATCAATGCATAACATTCCTTCTCCAAAGTGGAGTATCTTTCTTCCCTCGGCAGAAGCTTCTTACTGGCGAACGATACAGGGAAGGGAATCTCATCATAATACTGTAGTAGAACAGCTGTATAGCCCTTGTGGCTTAGCGCTTCTTTTTTATTATTATAATAATAATAATAATAATAATAATAATAATAATAATAATAATAATAATAATAATACTGTAGTAGAACAGCTGTATAGCCCTTGTGGCTTAGCGCTTTCTTTTTATAATAATAATAATAATAATAATAATAATAATAATAATAATAATAATAATAATAATAATAATAATAATAATAATAATAATAATAATAATAATACTGTAGTAGAACAGCTGTATAGCCCTTGTGGCTTAGCGCTTCTTTTTTATAATAATAATAATAATAATAATAATAATAATAATAATACTGTAGTAGAACAGCTGTATAGCCCTTGTGGCTTAGCGCTTCTTTTTTATAATAATAATAATAATAATAATAATAATAATAATAATAATAATAATAATAATAATACTGTAGTAGAACAGCTGTATAGCCCTTGTGGCTTAGCGCTTCTTTTTTATAATAATAATAATAATAATAATAATAATAATAATAATAATAATAATAATAATAATACTGTAGTAGAACAGCTGTATAGCCCTTGTGGCTTAGCGCTTCTTTTTTATAATAATAATAATAATAATAATAATAATAATAATAATAATAATAATAATATATACTGTAGTAGAACAGCTGTATAGCCCTTGTGGCTTAGCGCTTCTTTTTTATAATAATAATAATAATAATAATAATAATAATAATAATAATAATAATAATAATAATACTGTAGTAGAACAGCTGTATAGCCCTTGTGGCTTAGCGCTTCTTTTTTATAATAATAATAATAATAATAATAATAATAATAATAATAATAATAATAATAATAATAATAATAATACTGTAGTAGAACAGCTGTATAGCCCTTGTGGCTTAGCGCTTCTTTTTTATAATAATAATAATATATAATAATAATAATAATAATAATAATATATAATAATAATAATAATAATACTGTAGTAGAACAGCTGTATAGCCCTTGTGGCTTAGCGCTTCTTTTTTATTATAATAATAATAATAATAATACTGTAGTAGAACAGCTGTATAGCCCTTGTGGCTTAGCGCTTCTTTTTTATAATAATAATAATAATAATAATAATAATACTGTAGTAGAACAGCCCCGACTCCTGAATGGCAGACATCTGTTCGGAGACAAAAGACTTTATTAATATCTGGTAATTTTAGGACGGGTTGGAAAATATTCTTTTAATTTGTTGGAAGCTTTACACAGCTTCTTCAGAACAAACAAGAGGTTCCTTAACATTCATTTTTAAATAGTCTGTGAGAATGGAAGTCAGACCTCTTAAAGTAGGCACAAATCATATAGAAATTTATTGGCCCAAGGAAACTTCTTAGCAATTTCTAGATGAGAAGGCGCTTTCTAGAACTGCTTTCCTATTGTTAGGAAGAGGCGGTAAATTGTCATAAATAATAAACCCGAGGTATTGTACCTTGGAATAGCAAAGAAAACACTTCTGTGGTTTGATTGTGAGGCTATGAACTCTTAGTCTCTTTAAAACAAGTGACAGTGTAGTAAGATGATCTTCCCCGACACGAGTCTGGATGTAAATATTATCGAAATACACTGAAACATTCTTGAGATCAGAAAGGACTATTCTCATAAGCCGGATATACATGGCACATGCGGTGACCAAGC